TTGCCCTCAGGGAAAGGGCAAATATAAAGGAAAGCAGAAGGGCAAGGTGCATGGGGCGGCTATGGTGGAGATCGAGGAGGGGGAAAGTCGAAAGGCAAATGAAAAAAGGAAAGAACAAAGGCAAAGACAAAGGCAAGAATTCCAAAGGCAAAGGAAATACACAATGCTGAATCTGTAATGAGTATGGACACTGGGGTAATGAATGTCCTCAGCGGTTTGGCGACTCCATGCAGGCGAATGCGCAGCCACAGCTCCTCGCAGTGGAGCTTCAGATGTGTCAACCAATTTGCCTGACAGCGCAAGCCAGGTCAACATCGCCTACAACGAGCCTCAACAACATGGCACTTCATCGACTGGAGCTTCAACAAGCAGCGGTGGCAAGACACAAGTTCGACAAGTCCGCTTGTACCATGTGGCAACCCGTCAGAATACCCTGAGATCTTCGAGCTAAACAGTGAGGAAGAAGACTGGTAATTACTCAGTGCAGGTGGTTTCCTCCTTCAGCTTTGAAGAGAGAAACATCGAGGAGGAGGCGCGTTATGGATAAAGATGGGTACTACACTTGGCTGGCAGGTCCCGTAGAGCATGTGAGAACATGACACAACCTCGCGACGAGGGAGTGATAGACAGCGACCCTGATGATCGACTTCATGGACCTACCACCAGAGATGTGATGATGGAAGAAGCAAGGCCAGACCCTCAGCTCAATCAATTTGAGGACTGAACCATATTCTCTATACGTGGGCTCAACAAGAGCAAGCACGACCTTCTACTTGCAGCGAGTCATCGGCCAAGCTTGGCGTTTTGACTTCCACATGGTGTATGATGTCCATGACCGCAACTACCACAGACTGTGCCAGGAGATAGTCCGTGGAGATTACGATGAGAGCTGGGACGCCTTTATACGAAGATGGCGATGGGGCCCCAGAGCAGCTGTGAGGAAGAGAGGAAAAGTCTCTCTCTATGCTGTCGAGATTTTAGGCAGGGTGTTGAGCATTGGAGACTTTAGCGCGCCGCTACATAGTGACTCATGAGTTGGATGGAAGAGGTGCGGTGATGCTACCTAACAGTTCTATTTTGAAGGGTGGCGCTTTTCTACGAAAGACCACTTGTTTTATTGAGTCTAAAGTGGGCATGAGCCCTTTGTCCCCAGCCCTCATGGTTCCATGGTTCCATGTTGAAGGGCGCTCCCGATACCAGAAGGAGTGTCCTCTACGAAAAACCTACTTGTTTTGGAGTAGTTTGATGCCTGACTCAACTGTCTTTGGTGTGAGGAAAAAGCTTCAGGTTGCACTGGGGATGCGGATTAACATGGTTTAAGTCAACGCGGATTGTCCGCATTGCGGATTCTTTTTGAGAGATTCCAATGTAGAAACAACATGAAACAACCAGTGTATACAATATACACTATAGAGAGACTTAGATAGAGTTTGGGAACGCTTTGCGGGGGAAGCTGCAGTAGATGGCTAGATGGCAGCTTTTGTAGTTCAGCTACATGCAACATCATGCAACTACAGTGAGCATGCTGCGCATTCTCTCCACGACTGGGCGTTATTTTTTCCAGACAGTCTCCACGCCGCACATGCGAAGTGCAGCGCAGTGCTTCCCACGGTTTGCCTGTGAGGCTGCGCTTCCGAGTTCCCGGTTCCAGGTGGTACAAGCATTGCCGTGGTGGCACAATGCTCCCAAAGAGGCGAGGGGATCCGGATTGTCCCAATAGTATTTGATAGTTCTAGAATTAATTAGTATCAAAATGAAACACTTAAGCATGCACAGCTTATGAAGTTTTGAACGCGAATGTGATTTTGTTTTGTCATTCTTAGAGCCGATGATTTTGCCATGCGTTGTTTGTGGGCCCTTATCAGTATGTAGTATGTATTGAATTGTTGTTGCAATGTTTTGCAGGGATTCCGGGATGGCTGTTGTATGGATTTGTTGGTGACCAACAGTCATGCATGATTTTAATCTATGTTTTTTTACGTGTTTGTTTGTTTTTGTTATATGTTTGACTTGCAACCATTGAGCAAATCATATGTTCTTAGACTTCCAGGATTCCAGATTCTTGGAGTAGATGTGTTGATGTCTCGTGCCTCTTGAAAACAGGTGCGCATTACACAGCTGTCATAATACCCACTTTCCAGTCACAAAGCCGATAACCCAGAATTGGTGTAAGGGAAATTCGACAGGAAACCCATCGTTTTTGGGGTGAACACCTTGGTTTCCGGTAGAATTTTCCTTAAACCAACCCATTCAAGATAAACCATCCTTTGTTTTGCAGCCCAATGTTCTTGGGTCCATTGGTTTTCTGATGTTTTCTGTGGCCCTACCGATGTTCATGCTCCATTCTGCCAATGGTAGAAGAAGATCGAAAGACGTGTGAATTAAAGAGCATGTATTAATGCCGTCAATGAACGTCGGGAGGATGCGGAGTTCCGCTGTTCCACCGATGAAGATCCAGGAGCATGGCCATGGCTCTACGCTTCCGAGCTGGGCCTCGCATTGCTTGCGCTCACAACCCGACGTCCATCGCTGCCGCGGCTTCTTCCTGTGCCGCCTCGACCGGACGGCACCAGAGCCTGAGGAGCCTGCGCAGAACGCAGCACCACGGAAGAGGCGGGTTGGAACTTGGAACTGACCCCCCTGAGCACCCTCCGATAACATGTAATAAATACATTATACTGTTTCCAGCAAGCATGCAGGGAGAGATGTTCCATTGGCACTGATTACATCACATCGCCCTTGGGGATGGTGACCTCCGTTTTGTTACGTTGCCCAGCCAGGCGGAAGCGGCGCCGGCCGGACCGCGCGGAGAAGACGGCGGACGTCGGCGGCAGAGTTCGACCACCGAGTGAAGCTCCGAAGGTCCAGGCCACTGGGCGGGATTGGCCGACTGGGAGGTCGGGCATGGAACGTCGGTGATCCAAAAATGGCTTGGGGAGTTTTTGAAGAGGGTTTGAACATCTCCGAGACAGCTGTGGCATGGTGTGGCTAGGATGTGTGGATCCAGTTGAATCGGGCTGTAACCGAAATTGGTATTTAAACTGCTCATATAGTAAAACAGACTGGGTGCACTGATGGTACACTGACCGATGGTAATTACTGACGACTTATCATGTCCTGCCTTCAACAGGATCACCTTTCGGGTTCAGGCCCTAGCAACAAGCACTCAGCCAGATGCAATGGCCGGTAGCTTCTGCTCCGCTGCCAGGGGCTTTGTTTCTCTAGTTTCGTGGCCCCAGCCGAGGCCAAGAAGAGCAAGAAGGGCAAGGCTTTGGGTCTTCGCATTCACAGCGCCTGGGCGCGCCTGTTGCGAACGGGGCCCCTCCGTGTGGGGGCGGGCAAATATGACAGTCCCATGGAGTGTTTGGGTGTTGTTTTTCTTTGTGTGTGCTGTTTAGTTCCTCTCCTCCCGCAGGGCCTTGGATTTTGCCGTGGGGGGAGCTCATTTCCGCAAAGGGCAAAGGGGGCCCCTCGCTGACCAAGGCCTATTCCTTTCAGATTCGACCGGCACCAGGATCACCGTTGGATGAGCTTTTTCCGGACCTGGCCAGGTCTTCCGACCGACGGTTCCCAGGGACGTTCAAAACTCAGGGCTTCCCCATGGCTGACCCCTTGGACATGGCTGCTAAATGCCAATATCACCCAATATCCAATTAGAAGTTGACCAGTGGCAAGCAAATACAAGAAAGGACATCACCAACACCTTTCCTGTCCACGCCTGTCCACATGTTTCTGTCCATCCATGTGTTCGAGTACTGTCAGTGCCTTGGAGCTGCACCGGATCAGTCTCGATGGCGCGTTGCGCGGCGCCTGCAGGTCAAAGCCTTGGTAAAGCTCCCGGTGAAAAAGGTGACAAAGCTCTGGGGCGCAGGGGGTGAACTGGGGTTGAAAAGAGCATTGTCATCCGGTTGATACTGTTCAGGGTGACCAGTTCTCAGATCCTGCCTGGCACGCAGATGGAACCTGAGATTTCAGTGATGAAGAACCTGCTGGACACACGAAAAACTGTTAATAGTAGTTCTTCACCGAGGTTTAGGGAAACTGTACTCAGTTTGGGGATTTGCAGAACCTGCTTCACCATGCCCGGTTGACTCAGGTATTTGGTGTGTATTGTGGGTAGTAGGTTGTATTGTACGTTATTTTGTTTGTGGGCTCTCGGCGCCATTGATCTGTTGGACTCTTGGGCGCCAGTCGGTATGGGGCCCATGCCTCGTGTATCGGTATGTTCATCAGATCAGACACAACTCAAAGATACGCGCTTTGCGTGGTTGAAACCACTAAATGGAGTTTCTAGCAGCTCTAAGCAGGCAGTTGTCTTATGTGTTTTTCCTCAGAATGGCAGCCAAATGAGGCCAAACCATTTTTGGCAGTTTCAGGTGGATGATGCGCATGTTCGTCGATCCATGTTGGCTCCATGCTTTTCGTTGGGCTCAAGGGCTCGGATCAGAGCCACCTCGCCGCTTCGGGCGGCGGTTGTCGAAGCCCGAAGCTTAGCGGTTTGTTCGGTGGTTGGTTTGAAGATGGTGTGCGTTGCCCCTCGACGGAACGCCTTTTCTTTGCAATGTTACGTCATGTTACATCTAAACATCTTCCGATTTGCTGCGGATTTGGTGCAGATCTGGGCAGAGGTATGAAATCAAATTGTGGAAGGAGCCACGGAATGATATTGAAATGGCACGGGGATACTTTCTTGGCTCCCAGATCCACCGACCAATCTTCATGCTCCTCCACTGAGTCCTCCGGTGTCGCCAAGGAAACTCTGCGGGACCGCGTTTTCCGCGGCGCGCGGGTCGCACCCGTGGCGTTGCTTTGCAGCCGGCCATGGAGGAGCCAAAGGTCAGGAGAATGGGGGCGGCTGGTACGTGGCATTTGGGGCTGTGGCCTTTGCGACAGTCTATTATTACTGATTATGGGACCGGAAGATTTGCTTGCATTGGGGTTTTATTTTAGATATTTCATGATATTTCACGGGACAATGCACAAAGGTAGATATTGCACATGGATTGATTGTTGGGGATGGGATAGGAAGATGTTTAAAGACTTTAT